CGGATTCCATTTACATCCAAGCAGATGACCTCTGTTGAGTCGGCAACAGCACCTAGAGACGTATTCGGTGGACCGAAACTCGTAGGTTTGGTATGAACAGAGTTTTCCCCGAACATACCTGGACAAGAAGGGAAAATTCAATGGTATCACTTGTATAAGATACCTTTCATCCATCACCATTCAGCCCGAATACTTCTCATTCATTCGACACACCCATAGAGAACAATATACGAACACTCACTCAAGGCAAACGTATACCCCTACATTCATCCTGTAGTCCCACAGTCACTCCTCTGAGGGGTATCTGTTTACTTCGCCAACAGCACCGAACCTATCCAGAATTATAGATTTATTTTAACCAACATTCTTTAGCGAATATGGGTTTAAACCACAGCCATCACGTGCACCCCAAAGGAACCCCTCCCATAATCGAGACAAGACAAAGTCCAAAACTCTGACTTGCGGTCTACCGTTTTCCGTGGTACCAGATTATGTGGTTCTCTGGTTCGACCCCATGTCAAATCACTCCAAGGACAGCAAAAGGATACATTTGGTTATAACCAGATTATAGTCCCGACAGACTAGTGGTACTGGTAGCGTCTCTTTTCCCAAGATGAATCAATATTTTAACCAAGCGTCCCTTCCCCAAGAATTTGGGATTAAACCACAGCCACTGACCAGCCAAAAGACTAGCGGACAACTGGCCACCAGTAGTATCTGGTGCTTTGGTTCGACTCCATGTCAATTTATTCCAAGGAAAAGTCGTGGATACATTTGATCATCATCAGTTTATAGTCCCGGCAGACTAGAGGTATTGTGAGCACCTCTGAGAAGTGTCATCAAGGTATCATGCCCCCGGGACAGGCAGACAGACAGACAGACAGACCGACAAACAGACTGACAGACAGACAGACAGACAGACAGACAGACAGACAGACAGACAGATAGACAGACAGATGGATATGGCTTAATCCACTCCGTTACCTATAAGGATTCAGAATATACATTACAGGGTCGGTAAATTACATTACAAACAGAATGACAACCTTATGTAAGTAAGACATTCTAACATAATATTCTAATGTACAAACTCTAGAACAAACAAAACACACCTTCTAGTTTCAGTGTAGTTTCAATAAAGAACACAAATAATTTGAATACCAAAATATATATAAAACGTCCACAAAATAACACTACGATATTTAACAAAAAATCGAAATATTTGTTGTTGTTGCTTTTTTGTTTATATCAAAAATAAAACCAGAACAAAAAAAAAAAAAAACACCAAACAAAACAATATAAAAATATAAACAAAAGATCGAAGAAACAAAAAAAAAAAAAAAACAACAAAATAAAAAAATAGAGGGTGGTATGTATGTATATTTAATGAAAGTAGTATGTAAATAAAAATGTTTTTTGTTAACAAAGAAAATAAAAATTAACTAAAATTTATTTATAAAAAATATTATACTAGAAACAGCTGTTTCTAGACACAACAATCATTTGGGAATAAATAGTAAACGATCTGTAGAGAATTTACAAGATAGATGATGAACAGACAGACAACTAACATATCTGGATCTTACTTGTCTTAGTTTAGTTGTTTACTCCAGCATTCCTATAAAGAAGTAGTGATTTCATTGATATTTGGTAATGCAAAGAGTAGCAATAAGTACTAATAGTTATTAAATACTTTTGCTGGGATATTTGTTTAAAGTTAAAAATTTTAATGTATTTTATGAAAAATAATATAAATTTTATCTTGTAATTGTTAAAAATATAATGATTTTTTTAATTCCCCGACATTTTGTGTTTATTTAGAATAAATATATTTACCCCCTTATTCACAAACAACATTTTTATTTTATAAGAGGTTTATAAAACAAAATTTCCATACAAAATCTAATTTATAAACTGTTTATAAAATAAAAAATTTGTTTGTGAATAAGGGGGTTAATGTTTATCTTGTGTTTTTTTAAATATTACAAAATTCTTTGTTGTTTTTTTTTCAGTTCTGTTATAGAAAAAGTTTTGTTTTACATTGTTGTTTTTAGTTTAAAATTTATTGAATCCATTATTTACTTGGAAATCATTCCTTTGTTTTAATTTATAATTTTTTTACAAGTAGTCAAGAAAAACTTCTACTTCCATTAAAGAAAGAAACAAAGAAAATGTTGAATAAATTTTATAGCAAAATTAAATTTATTATAAAATGTTTAATAGACAAAATGTTGAGTAGAAGTGTCAAGTAGTCAATTCTTTTAATGTCAACCTCTTTAAGAGTTTCCTTTTCCTCAATAAATGTTGGAATATTAAAAAAAAATGTTTAACGTTTTTCCTTTAAACAAGTTTATTCAGTTAGCATTAGTATTAGGACTTATATGACAGAAAACTTTGATATTATTTGCCACAAAAATTTCTTTATTTTCTTGTTCTTAAATAACATTTGATTTATTACTATAATTATACATCACATGCCCCTATTTACCTTTAAACAAAGTCAATATACATACATCTGTTTTTCTATATACTCAAGCACCTTATTTATGTATTTAGTTTCAACAGGTGTCACGTTTATTTAAAGTATTTAACAATAAGACACTCTTTTTATAAAATTGTTTATTGTTTTTTACTTGTTGTTATAGTTTCAAATTGGTCACACTTCTGCGTCAATTTACTTATTTGTTTTTGTCTTAAGCAATATTGTTCATTTTTTTGGTGCATGCATTTTTTCGTTTAACAAAGTTCAGTGACCTACATTTGATGACGTTTTAATATATTTTTTTTTTAATGAATTTTCAATAATATTATTCACAATAATATTTTTTTTGCATAATTTTTCTTTGTCTGAGGCTATAATTTTGTATTTATTTGTTATTAAGATGTTTTTTTTCGATTTGAAATTAAAAATAAATAATATGTATGATTATGAGTCATTATTAGATTAACTAAATATGTACATATGTAACAAATATTGTTTTGTTTTGCATTTGTAAACTACAGACGTATTATCTCTTAAATGGGATTTATAATGAGATGTTGGGAAATAACAGAACTTTGTCATTTGCAATGCAATTATTTATTCTTAGTTACAAAATATCATAAATTTGCTCTCATTTCAAACCTGGCTATAGTCTGAAGGCTTGAATGTAGAATGAACTTTAGAATTGATTTTACATTATAGTATTATCTTGTCAATAGCCTGGCAATAGTATTGACTATATCCTTGACTACAGCTTATGGACTATAGACATTACTATACATCTACTCTACATCTACTATAGTCTGTACTAAAGTCTTAACTATAGTCTATGCTATGATATTGAATATAGTCTTGACTTTATCCTTGACTATAGACTTGACAGTAGTCTGGACTACTTTGAACATAGAATTGACTAGAGTCCTGACTATGGAATATATTATATATTATACTCGAGAATATAGGCTGGACTTTAGAATTGACTTCAGTTTAAAGTATAGTCTAGTCAATAGTCTGGCTATAGTATTGTCTATATCCACGCTATGGACTATAGTTATTCTACTATTGTCTGTACAAAAGTCTGAACTATAGTCTATGTTTTGATATTGACTATAGTCTGGATTACTTCCTTTCTATAGTCTAGACTACAGCATTGACTGTACTCTAGACTATAGACATGACAATAGTTTGGACTACAGGTTTGAATATAGAATTGATTATAGTCCTGACTATGGAATACATTATACTCCAAAATATAGACTGGACTTTAGAATTGACTTCACTTTATAGTATAGTCTTGTCAATAGTCTGGCTATAGTATTGACTATAGTATCTTCTATAGTCTGTACTAAAGTCTGAACTATAATCTATGTTATGATATTGACTATAGTCTGGACTACATCCTTTCTATAGTCTGGACTATATCCTTTACTATAGTCTGGCTTGAATATAGAATTGGCTATAGTCCTAACTATGGAATACATTATACTCGAGAATAGGGACTGGACTTTCGAATTGACTTCCCTTTATAGTATAGTCTTGTCTATATCCTTGACTACACGCTATGGACTATAGTCATTACTACAGTTTCAACTATAGTCCGTACTAAAGTCTGAACGATAGTCTATGTTATGATATTGACTATAGTCTGGACTACTTCCTTTCTATAGTCTAGACTACAGTCTTGACTATACCCTTGACTATAGTCTGGACTATAGATTAAACTTTATTCTTAATAATCTTTATATATAATAATCTTAGATATAGTCTATATTACATTACATATTTGATATAATCTACTATAAGCTACAGTCTTCACCATATCTTGACTATATTCTGAACCATAGTCTTGTTTATATTCTTTGATATTGTCTAGACTACAGTCTTCACAATATTCTTGACTATAGTCTGGTCTATAGATTTGACTATAATCTGGACTATTGCCTTGACCGTAGTCTGGACTATAGTACTGACTATAGTTTGGGCTATAGTATTGACTATAGGATATTAATAGATGTCCCTCTGATTGACCGCCTATTTGTGAAAACTAATTTTCTGAAGTTCTCAGATATCTGAAGTATTTAAATCTTGTATAATAAGTGCACATTTACAGACAATATGTACATACGAAAAGAAAGGTGTTTAAAAAACTTCTTATTTGATATACATTTTGCTTAAGAAAAATATTAAATATTCGAAACAAATATATTCAAAAATATTAAATTAATTTTGACTTAAATTTCTGACAAGCCTGCTCTCTCTTAAATATTTGAAAGTAACATTTATGTTCTTATAATTTCCATTCCTAATAAAAAGCGCGCGAAAATTTCTTATGTTAAGTGTAAGCCCTGGCTTCAGTTAATAATAAATTCCAATAAAATTCATAATGTAAAAAAAAATTAATTTTTTTTTATAGTTATGCTCTATATTTTTCAAAGCCTTTTAAAATTATATTAAACAAATAAAACTATTTATTTTATTTATAAACATCACGAGAGTCTATTAACTATTTAATAATTACCATGTATTATGATGTAGTTGTTGTTTTTGTTGTTTTATTTGTATTTGTAATCTTTATTGTTTAATAAATATTTTACGTATTAAAATATGAAAATATTTATATTTAGAATTTGCATTTACTTGACACGTTATTTAAAAAAAAATTGTGATTATTTAGTAAAGAAACTCATTAAAGCATTTGTTATTGAACTAAAATTTATTGAATGAATATTTATTAAAATATTTTTTTCTTTTAATTTTTTTTTTCAAAATTTAGAGCGCCTACAAAATGTATTAACACTAGATTTTTAATGGAATTAACACTTTGTATATGAAATATTTGTTAATTGAAATAATAAATACAAAATTTCACTTAAATACGCGTAATTTACTTAGTTGGGCACTTAAAAGATTATTTTAATTTTTTATGTTTTTTTTTTGGTAAAAAAATATTTATTTATTAAGAAACCACGTTTTTTTAAGTAAAAAAAAAAATATTGTGTGCAGCGCGTTTAAACGCCGTTTAAGAACTGAAATTGATGTTGTATGCGACTGGTTGATAAAAAGGAATATGTATTTTTTTTGTTTTGTTCAAATTTTACTTTATATATTTTTTGTTGTTTTCTTTAGATTTTAATGGAGAGTGAGAGTACCAAGAATTGACAACAAAAACACAATATTCATTCTCTATGATAATAAAAAATCTAAAGAGTATCAATTGATAACGGAACTGTTATTAGAATCTCTTGCTTACGCTCTACAAAATCTCTTTAAACTGTAGTAATTATCATTGATAATTACTATTGCTAAATGTAGAATTCATAGAACAAGTGTGTTTGTTGGTCTTGTAAATACTCCCCTTAGTAGACCCCAAAACAATGGTGAGTATGAGTAATGGGAGCATAAAAAGTAATTGTTAAACACTCATACTCTTGCATAAATAATCTACCGTAAGTAAAATGCAATAACAAATGAAATTATGATAATGAGCAGAAAAAAGAACGACTCTCTTTAATAAAATGTTTATTGCTTGAATTTTCGAGTACTAATAATAAACAACAACAACTGCTTATTTCTTATCAGTTCAATAAAAAATAAATAAAAACAACAAAGACAAAATTATATACATTTTTTTTAAATAAAAAACAACAATATTTATTTTTTTCTTCTAATATTAGTTTCACTTGTTGTTTGCTAAAAACAATTATTATTTTGCCTATTATTTCCACTAAAACAATGCAGTTTTTTTCTCTCTCTCTCTTTCTACTAAATAACTTCTATTATTGTTGTTATTGTTTCAAAAGGAGTTAAGCCATTAATTTTTTAATTTCTTTATAAACCTCGTGCTAATTTACAAATTATGCGAGTCCACTTCAATTCCAAATATTTAACTTTTCTCTTTATTATCAGCTGATAAACACTCATACATACACATTTTATTCTTATCTTTATTATTAAGTATTTACCTAATACACACATATCAACTGATATTTAGTCTATAGATAAAAACCTTTGTGGTTGTTGTTATTGTCTTAAGTGCTAATAAAAGTTAGAAGAACAAGAAGGGGTAATCAAAATTTAGTTACTTTTTATTTTGTTACGCGTATGTTATTCTATCATTACTTCTGTAGGTACATGTGTCTTTTACGAATAAGTACTAAGTATGAGTACCTACAGATAGACGACAACTTGTATTAAACGTTGATAATAAGTAAATATATTATTTTTTATTTTCAAGGTTCATCTAAGTTCATAAAGTAATCTTTTAAATTTTACATTAAGTTTGCTGGTGGTCGTTGAAATTTCTTTTTCAATATGATTTATAAAACTGATTGTAAAATATTCATATTTACTATGTATATGTATGCAGGTTTGTAAACACACATGTGCCAAATATAGCACTAAAGTAAATGATTAATTATTGAAGGAGGGAACCCGGGGGGAGCGGAGCCACAACCGAACGAACGAACGAAAAAACGAACGAACGAACGAACGAACGAACGAACGAACGAACGAACGAACGAACGAACGAACGAACGAACGAACGAACGAACGAACGAACGAACGAACGAAACGAACGAAGAACGAACGAACGAACGAACAACGAACGAACGAACGAACGAACGAACGAACGAAACGAAACGAACGAACGAACGAACGAACGAAAACGAAGAACGAACGAACGAACGAACGAACGAACGAACGAACGAACGAACGAACGAACGAACGAACGAACAACTAACTAACTAATAACGAACTAACTAACTAACTAACTAACGAACGAACTAACTAACTAACTAAACTAACGAAACTAACTAACTAACTAACTAACTAACGAACTAACGAAATAACTAACTACAACACTAACTAACTAACTAACTAACTAACTAACTAACTAACGAACTAACTAACTAACTAACTAACTAACTAACTAACTAACTAACTAACTAACTAACTAACTAACTAACTACTAACTAACTAACTAACTAACTAACTAACTAACTAACTAACTAACGAACTAACTAACTAACTAACTAACTAACAACTAAAACTAAAAAAAAAAACTAACTAAAACTACTAACTAACTAACTAAAAACTAACTAACTAACTAACTAACTAACTAACTAACTAACTAACTAACTAACTAAAACTAACTACTAACTAACTAACTAACTAATAACTAACTAACTACTACTAACTAACTAACTAACTAACTAACTAACTAACTAAACTAACTAACTAACTAACTAACTACTAACTAACTAACTAACTAACTAACTAACTAACTAACTAACTAACTAACTAACTAACGACTAACTAACTAACTAACTAACTAACTAACTAACTAAACTAACTAAACTAACTAACTAACTAACTAACTAACACTAACTAACTAACTAACTAACTAACTAACTAACTAATGCAATTCTAACAGATATTCTTTCAGAAATTTTTCATTCGAAATTCTGAAAAAACATGACTTTTCCTATTTTGTTTGAAATATAATCGTCGGTTTTGTATGTTTTGTTTTGTATGTATATAACATAAGAAAGATATTTTGGATAGGAAAAGATTTATATGCTTCTAAGTTGATGTTTGTAATGTTTGCAAAAAAATGTCACTAGTTAACATGGAAAATGTCAAATTGAAATTGTTATATTATTTTATGTTATATTTAATGAAGTTTCTATCGGCTCTATCGGTTAAGAACTGCCGAACTTAGTGAATGTCAAAGTTCGACATTTTGATATTCAAATGAGTGTCACTTTTCACTTATTGGTCCTAGCAAGTTCAGATAGCTATTTCTTTGTTGTTCCCAAAAAAATATATATTTTTTTAAAATATGCAGTTTTTTTTGCTCAAAATAAAGCTCGGAAGAAACGACATTTTAAAAGTTGGGTCACTTGACACGAAATTAATCACATAAGTATTTCATTAGACCTCTATGCCGGGCTTAAGTCTGTTGTGTAAGCGGACACAGAACGCATTCAAGAAATCAATTTCCCATTCCTACGACACTTTCATATAAAATCATATCAATCACTCAAAGAATCAATCATTGGGCTACTTCTATTTCGTTTTCATTTCCTCCTAAACTGATTACAATTATTTACGAGGTCCATGACCAATATTTTCAAATATTACCAATCAAATAGCAATTAGGAGCAATGTTTTATAGAAACGTTCAACATCTTTAAATGCGGCGCATTTTCCTTTGCCACTGGTGCACATCGTCACGAGGCCAATCATAATGGACTTTAGCTTCCTTAATATTTCCCTCAATATTCTTCTCACTGCCGCGTTGAATGAAATGTAATCGTATTCGTACTCGCGCTTTTATTGATAATTATTTTTTTTTATTTAATTAGACAATTAATGCTGGTGTTGGTGCCATTTAGTATGTTTGTAATAGATAATTTTTCTATATTTAGCCCGCTACATATACAAATATAGACAAGAACAATAAACTGCGGTACAGTAAATGAACGAACATCTGAACACAAAATTTAAAATTATTTATTTATTTGTATTTATAAATGTATTCACATTGTATTTCTAAAATGTATTTAATCTTAAATATTTGCATACAAAAATTAATCTTTATTGCATTTATTGCTGCCATTCAAGTGATAACTTCTAGCTCCGTTTTATATAAAAAAAAAATTTTATGAAAAATGAATATTTAAAATAAAATAAATATAACAATAACAATGAAAATATAACAAAATATTTAATTGAAAAAATATTTAATTATGGTTTTTAATTCACATTTTGTATCTGTGTCATGTCTATCAGACAGTTCATGTCATGGTTTCATAGAATTAATTCATTTTATTACAGTAACAAATTGTATTTAAAATTCAATTAAAATTTTAAAAATAGCCTTCTAAAATTAGAGATAAGATTTTAAGTTCCAGACTCTAATATGCAGACGCATATTTTAGCGACGCTTTAATTAGCCACGATTGCATTTCAGTTTCCAGAATCTCATTCACTTGTGAAAGTACTTTGTCTCCAAGAACAACTAAATTATGAAAAAATATTTTTGTTTTTTTTTTTTTTTTTTTTTTTTAATTCTTTAAAATTTATATTATTATCATTTTTTATTACCACGCAAAATAAGAATGTTCTTACTCAAAATTCTGATGATATTTTTGAGACAATCAACCCAAATATTTTTGAAACTGTACGAACAAATGCGGAACAAATGTTAATATAATTATTCCGGAAAGGCTTCTAGAGTGGTGTTTTGTTAAATTAGAAATTATTTGAAATTATAATAATTTCGCCCAAGAACCACTCATGGATTTCTATAAGTTTTCTTTTATTTCAAAAGATGGTACAAGCGGAAATTTTAGGAATATCAAATAACATTTCTTAAACAAATGATTCATCTTGTTTATTTGGGAAATCAAAGTGCAATTTAATATTTAATTAAAAACATTTTCAATAATTTTATATTTTTGCAATTAATAATAAAAATTGGAAATTTTTAAATTTTTTGCACAAAATATTTTTAATTTAAAAATTTACAATTTTTTTGTAAATCAAATTCTTATCACATTTTTTTTTTTAAATTTTGCCTTGTTGATAAGAAATTGGTAAAATTTATATAATTTACAAGACGGTTTTGAACGTTTTAATAATAAATAAACATTTAATCTCAAATCACAACCAAATTTCTCTATAAATTCTGGTTTATTCCTGTCAGATATTGGAATAACTGTTAGAATGAATTCAGTTTTGTTAAAAAACACAGTAAAATGTTAAAAGTTAGTTAGTTAGTTAGTTAGTTAGTTAGTTAGTAGTAGTTAGTTAGTTAGTTAGTTAGTTAGTAGTTAGTTAGTTAGTTAGTTAGTTAGTTAGTTAGTTAGTTAGTTAGTTAGTTAGTTAGTTAGTTAGTTAGTTAGTTAGTTAGTTAGTTAGTTAGTTAG